TTCGTATTTTTTGAGGAGGGGGGGGGTCGGTGTAAAAGTTAATGTGGTGCAAGTTATGATTTATTTATTGTTTCGTATTTTTTTTGGGGGCGGTCGTTGTTTTATATATTTATTTGTTTATAATTTTGGTTATTTATTTATTTTTTAAATTTTTATTATTTATATTTTTTTTTGGAGGGGGATTTCCGTGTGAAAAAGTGATGTGGGTGCAAGTTTTGATATATTTATTTGTTTTTATTTTTGAAGGGGGGGTCGTTGTTTTTTATATATTTGTTTATAATTTTGGTTATTTATTATTTATTTATTTATTTATTTATTATTTATATATTTATTTTTTTGGAAAGGGGATTCCCGTGTGAAAAAAGTGATGTGTGGTGCAAGTTTTGATGTTTTATTTGTTTTCGTATTTTTGAGGAGGGGGGGGGTCGGTGTAAAAAGTTAATGTGGTGCAAGTTTTGATTTATTTATTTGTTTTCGTATTTTTTGAGGGGCGGTCGTTGTTTTTATATATTTATTTGTTTATAATTTTGGTTATTTATTTATTTTTTATTTATTTATTTATTTTATTTATTTTTTTTTTTTTTGGAGGGGGATTCCGTGTGAAAAAGTGATGTGGTGCAAGTTTTGATATATTTTATTTGTTTTTTATTTTGAGGGGTGGATTCCGCGTTAAAAGGTGGTGTGATGTATTTTTTTTGTATTTATTTATTTTTATTTTTTGAGGGGGGGGGATTCCGTGTAATTTTTTTTTGATGTAGTGCAAGTTTTGATTTTGGGGGAGGGGGGGTCCGTGTGAGAAAGTTAGTGTGGTACAGTTTTTTTATTTTTTATTTTTATTTTTGAGGGAGGATTCCGTGTGAAAAAGGGATGTGATGCAAGTTTTTTTTATATAGTTATTTTTATTTTGAGGGGGGGGGGGGAGGGAAGATTCCATGCTATTTAAAAAAAAAATTGGGAAACAATGAAAGAACGCGCCGAGGATGGACGACGAGTTTGATCACGTGATCTTTTGCGCGGGAAAAAGGGTTCGGTCTCACGGGAATTGGTTTCGGATTGCGGTCGCTCGTAACGAGTGATAGAGGGAAGAAAGGAGGGGCGATGCGCAAAAAACAAGTCCGCGCTTATATTTCTCACAACTCTCGCCACGCAAGCACGCACACTCACACTCTCAATGCACTCATGTTTATATGCAATATCCAGACGCAGCAAAGTACATATACATGTGTTTTTATACACATATGCATTGCACTTAGACATGCGCATATACATGAACTGTACATACACATGTACTTGCCCTTAGTATACACATACACATACACTTGCACAGTCACAAGCACATGCCGTACCATGCACACGCACCTGCCACATGGATGCACAGATACACCACGCACACTCCACACCTTACACCCCGCCCACACATACACACACACCGCACCTACGCACAAACACAAAACACAAAATGAAAAAAAACGCCTCCGTTAGGTCACGCCATTTCTTCGCACATCGTAACATGTTCTCTCGATCGAATTAGTGCTGATGGGCGGCGATCGAGTGGGAGAGGAAGGGAGGGAGGGAGAAGGGAGAGGGAGAGGGAGGGGAGAGGGAGAGGGGAGGGAGAGGGAGAGGGAGAAGGGAGAGGGAAGGGGGGAGAGAGAAAAAAAAAATGGAAAATTCACAGGGCCTTTGGAGTCCGTGGGATCAGGCTACCAAGTGAGAGACGAGAAAGAAAAGAAAGAAAGAGAAAGAAAGAAAGAGAGATCGACACCGAGACAGAGACATAGAGAGAAAAGGAAAATTCACAAGGCTATTGGAGTCACTGGGATCAGATAACAAAGTGAGAGAGAGACCGAGACCGAGACCGAGACCGAGACCGAGACCGAGACCGAAGACAGAGGGAGACAGAGAGAGACAGAGAGACAGAGAGAGACAAGAGACAGAGAGAGACAGAAAGACAGAGACGAGAGAGAGAAAAGGAAAATTCACGAGGGCCACTGGAGTCGGTGGGATCAGGTGACCAAGTGTTCACAGGGATCAGGTGACGCAAGTGATGCCTGAGTCATGGGCGCCGAGTCGAAATGAATTTGACTCGCGGGTTCGAACACAATTGGCGTGGATCTTGTCCGTCACTGGGGCGTGGTGGGGGTGGGGTGGGGTGCGTGGGAGGGGTTTGGGGTGGTGGTGTGGGTGGTGGTGGAGGTGTGGGAGGGGGTTTGGGGTGGGGTAGGGGTGGTGGTGGGTGTGGAGGGTTTTGGGGTGATGGTGCGTGGGGGGTGTTTAGGTGGGGTAGGGGTGGTGGTGGAGGTGGGGCGGGGTAGGGGTGGTGGTATGGGTGTGGGCGTGGTTTTGGGGTGGGACAGGGGTGGGGTAAGAGGAGGTGTGGGAGGGGTTTAGAGTGGTGGTGGGGTGTGGGCGGGTTTGGGGTGCGGTAGGGGGTGGTGGTGGGGGTCGGGGGAGGCGGTCGGACCAACAGGTAAGTAAGTAATGGTCGTCGGACACCAAAACAAATTGAGAGCGCGCGACCCCGGCAATTAAGGCATTGTCCCAGGCTGATGGCCGTGTCCCGTCGCTCCTGCTGCTTGTTCCGGCCTGCTACTGCTCCTCCTCCTCTTTCCTCCTTCTCTTTCCTTCTCCTTCTTTCTCCATCTCTTCCTTCTCCTCCTTCTGCTCTTCTCTCTTTCTGCTCTTTCTGCTCTTCTGCCTGGCTTCTCTCATCCTTCTTCTCCTCTTCCCTCTCCCTTTTCCTCCTTTCTCCTTTTCCTCCTCATCATCCTTCTCTTTCTCTTTCCCTGTATAATCTCTCCCTCCGTCCCTCCCCCATCATCGCTTCCCTCTACTCTTCCAAACACTTTTGTTTTCCCCCTCAATCCTCTTTACTCTTTCCTCTACCCCCCACATCCTACATCCCCCCTCTCCCCTCTCCTCACCCCCTCCCTCCTCCTTTCCTTTTCCTCTCCTCCCGCCCCTCCCCTCCCTCCCTCCCTCATCCTCCCGCCCCCTCCCCTCCCCTCTCCGCTCTTCCCTCTTCCTCTCTCCTCCTCTCCCCTCCTCCTCCCCGCCCCTCTCCTCCCCTCCTCCTCTCCGACGGAAGCTGCGGTATCTGCCGTCTCTCTCTCTCTCTCCTCCGGTGTCCAGCTCCGTCGCCAGTCATTTTTGCGGTCGGGGTGGACTGTCTTTAGTTTACCTGGGACTTCGGGGTGATGGAGGGAGGTGGAGGGGGAGGTTAGAGGGGGAGGTTAGAGGGCGGGGGAGGGAGGGCACACGCACACGCACCGCACACGCACACGCACACGCACAACGCACACACGCACATGCACACACACACACACACACACACACACACACACACACACACACACACACACACACACACACACACACAACACACACACATACACACACGCACACACCACATACACACACACAGACACAGACACACAGAGAGAGAGAGAGAGAGAGAGAGAGAGAGGAGAGAGAGAGAGAGAGAGAGAGAGAGAGAGAGAGAGAGAAGAGAGAGAGAGAGAGAGAAGAGAGAGAGAGATAGAGAGAGGAATCAAAATAAGATGGAAATGGAGGAGGGGGAGAGAAAAAGGGGGAAATGAAAGGGCACACCAATGAAAGAGAGAATAAGGTGAAGAATAGGATGAAAAAAAAGAAGAAAACGAGAAAAAAAATGGCGTTGCAATAGTCGTGGCACAGAAGTTGCAGCCCTGAAATCGGAGTCGGGAGTTGCCCTTGCAGTGAGAGCAACCCAAGGAGTCGATCCAGTTCGTTTATTATTTGCCTCCGTCTTGTTGTTTCTTCTGCGACGCTTCCCTGGAGTGTGGCTTCTGGTGGACTGTTAGCTTGGCTTTTTTTTTTTTTTTTTTTTTTTTTTTTTTGTGTGTGTGTGTGTGGTGTGTGTGTGTGTGTGTGTGTGTGTGTGTGTCTGTGTGTCTGTGTGTCTGTGTGTCTGTCTGTCTGTCTGTGTCTGTCTGTCTGTCTGTCTGTCTGCCTGCCTGCCTGCCTGCCTGTGTGTGTGTGTGTGTGTGTGTATTTTAATTGTTTCGTCATTTGTTCAGTTCCCGTTCGTTGTCTTTTTTTTCTTGTCGTTTAGGGTTGTCCTTCTTTGCGGCCTTGGTTAGTTTTATGATCTTAATTATATTTTGATTTTCTTTGTTTTTTGTAGTTTGTGATTTATTATATATTGACTTTGTTTTTTGTTCTATGTAAAGGGTATGGAGTGAGTTTTATTTTTTTTTTTGATCGGATGTGACGTCTTGGTGTCGTGTTGGCTTCGTTGTCTAATGAACTAATTGCGGTATTAGCTCTGGTTAGTTATACAGCGTCAGTGTGTGTAGTATTCCTAGTGGGGAGGAGGTAACTAATTGATAGCCAAGTCTTAAGACTGATACCAAGCCCTGGACTGATGACCGGAACCCTTGACTGGAATACGGCGAAGCCTGATTGGATACGCGAAAGCCTGGAGCCGATACCGAGGGCCTGACGTGATACCGGGCCGGAAGGCGCGCGTGGCGACTGATTACTGGAGAGAGCCGGTGACTGGATACCAAGCCCGCATCTGATGACCGGAAGGCCTGACTGGATATGACCGGGATAAAGCGCCCTGACTTGATGGACCGAAGGCACCCTGGAGCGCCGGTGCGAGTACAGGCTGGGAAGCCCTGAGGCTGATAATCCCGAAGCGCGCCTGAGAGAGACCTACGAGAAGCCGTGGACGGGATGAAGCCGGCGAGAGCTTTACACGCTGACCTGATGGAGCCAAGGCGGCTTCGGCATATAGCGGCAGGCGCGCTGGGATGATACCGAAGCCCATGACGTGGATACCGAGCCATGATCTGATACCCGTAAGCCCCTGACTGACATACAAGCCCTGCCTGATACCAAGCCCTGACTGATACCAAGCCCTGACTGATACCAAGCCCTGACTGAATACCCAAGCCCTGGACTGATACAAAAGCCCTGAACTGATACCAAGCCCTGACTGATACCATACAAAACCCATGGCAATAACCAAAGCCCTGGACGGATACGCAAGCCAAGCCCTGAACAGACAGCCAAGTCCTAACAGAGCACCAAGCCCCGCGACAGAATACCAAGCAAGCCCTGGCAGACACCAAGTCCTAACAAAGCGAGCCGAAGCGGCTGCGAGAGAGCGCGAGAAGCGAGAGCCGCTGAGCGAGATACGCGATAAGACTGGCTGATACCGGTAAGGCCCAACAGGACACCTCGGGAGAGGCACCGCGAGCGAGACGAGAAGCCCGACCAGAGCAGCCAAAGCCGCGCCGAGGACAGAAGCGCGCGAGCAGACACGCAAAGCCCGCGAACAGAGCGCGCGCGAGAGCGAGCCGCCGAACGAGACTACCACCAAGAGCGCGGCCGAGAACAAAGAGCACACAGCTCCGACACCAACACCACCGAAAGGCACGCGACAGAACACCATAGGCGCGCGTGACAGAACGAGCCAAGCGGCGGACAGACACGAGGGGCGGCGCGGAACAGACGCCACCAAAAGCCCGACAGAACCCAAAGCCCCGAGCAGGACGAGCCAGCCGCACGACAGACACCAAGCCCCGGACGAGAGGCGCGAGCCGAAGCGCGGACCAGGGGGGGGGGGTACAGCCCAAGGCCCCGAGCAGAGCACGCGAAGCCGCGAGAGCGAGCCCAAGAGACATGACAGGGCGCCGAGAGGCCCGCGACAGACCGCACCAAGCCAAGCCCCGACAGACACGCGAACCCCGACAGACACCGGCGGAGAGGCACGGGGGAAAGCCCCGAGCAGCAGCAGCCGAAGCGCGCCACAGGAGACACCAGAGCCGGCCGGAGCAGAGCACCCGCCGCTAAGCCCCAACGAGGGGGCCGAGGGGGCGCGGCGGGGGCGCACACCAGCGGGTAAGCCGCGGCGACGCGACGCACGCAACCCAAGCCCACAGGACACCGGGAAAGCCCGCGCGACAGATCGCACACGCCCTAAGTATAAAGGAGCCGTACGAGAGACCCCTCTGATTCTCCCCTGATCCACGGCGGATTCTTTCGCAAAGCCCGCGGGGGGGTCGGAGCGCATTGCCCTGTAATGTGCGCGGAGGCATAGAGGAAGATTTTTGCCTTTTATTTATACATTTGCGACGAATATATCACGACGGTGTGATTTAAGCGAGGAAGATTTTGGTTTTAGGTTTATTTTGTTTGTTTATTTATTTGGCGGATTATAAAGTATACTTTGTTGATTTAAAGGAAGGAAGAATTTTGGATTTTAATTTAATTTAGTTATTAATTTGCGACTAATATATACGAATGATTTAAGGGAAAGAATTTTTTTGGTTTTATTTAATTTTGTTTTGTTTATTTATTTGCAGACGGCATATATACGGGTGTGATTTAAGGTAAGGAGGTAGATTTTGCTATTAATTAATTTATTACATTTAATTCATGTTATTTATTGCATTTGCGACGATATAAATTCGTGTGATTTAAGGAAGGAAGATTTTTGCAACTTAATTTATTTATTTATTGCATTTATTTTTATCTCATTTGGCGAAATATGTTATACGTGTGATTTAAGGAGGAAGATTTTGCACTTATTTATTTATTTAATTGCATTTATTTATTCATTTTGCGACGAGTGTAATAGCGTGTGATTCAAGAACAGCAAATATATTTTTTTTCTCTCGTCCTTATATCTTGCGCACTTCTTGGAAGCGAAGGACTGCGGATCCTTGTGTTCCTTGGCGAGGAAGTGACTGTGTGTTTGTGTTGAGGTCCGTGGGGATCCTCTGCGCTCGGGCTGGTGCGGCTGCGACTGCGGACGCGACTGGTGAACGCGGCCGGATGGCGGGGTTTCGGTGTAACG